ATATATATATATATATATATATATATATATATATATATATATATATAAAGTGTTGATATTTGTAATACTCAAGAACTTATGACAATTACAATTTCTATAAATGTAAATATCTATCTTATCTATCAGAGGATGATTTTATATTTTTAAGCATACATTCAGTGGTATTTACAATAACAAATAATGTTTATGACATTTTTTTAACATTCAAATATGAAAAGTACTAGTGATATAGTATCATTTTTATGAATACATTAATTGATTTTATCGTATGTACTTGTGAAATAAATGTTATACTAAATTCATATTATATTGAAGCATTAGAAACATGTTGGATGAGTGGTTATGTAATTTGTTTTCAAATCAAGAGATGGTGGTATCGGTTTATCTCCAATTAATGATTAGCACTCCTCATCTGAGTCAAAGTAACTCGCTGAGTTACTTGAGATTGAGTAAAAAGGCAAAACGAAAAAAAAAAAAAAAAAAAAAAGTAACAAAAAACCGCAAAAAAAAACGAACCGCAATAAAAAACCGCATAAAACCGAACGGTGCGGTTTCTAAATTTCAAAAAACCGAAGTTGCGGTTTTCGGTTTGGTTTTGACCAAAAACCGCACCAAACCGCACCGTGCTCACCCCTATTACATGAGTTTATTTAAAAAAAAAATTAATTTAAAATTTTAACAATTTGAAATTTTTTTCTCTATTAGGTATGAGACCCATGTATTACATGGGTTTATTTAAAAAAATTAAATTTAAAATTTTAACAATTTGAAATTTTTGAATTTATAAGAAAAAATGAGAATTTTTTTGAATTATTAAAATTAATGAGGCTTTAACGTATTGAATACATTACATATACAAACTATTTCTAATAAATACCTTACATATATTACCTTATATATTAAATGTGGAACTTTAATTTAATAAAATGAAAAATACAATAAAATGACAAGTGGAAAATAGAAAATTAAAAAATTTTAGAAAATGTCATGTGTCTAAATGAATGAGAAAAGGACATGTGGCAAAAAAACCTTCATTTATTATAGTAGATTACTTTCATTGTTTGGTTATTATCATTGTTTCTATTTTAAGTCTTAGAGCAAAAACGAGAATCTTATCAAATGCAAGATTAGTTGTTGTTTTTCTTTGTTTTCTGCATTGTTTCTGCTAGAGTAACAATATATATTGAGTTATCTTTTTTTTTTGTCTATAAAACATAATTTGTCAGATGTTAAACAACGACAAAGTATTATTGATGGTCATTTTATGACATTTCGCTTGAGATTTAACATTTCACTTTGCTAACATAAATTGTTAATAGAAAAACACAAATTAAAATACAAATAATACAAATCTTACTATATCAAGTATGAGTATATTAAGAAAAAAAAAAGGTCAGCATCCATAATAATGTCTTTATCATAGGGCATCATAATTTATTTTCAATACTAGGTGTGAGCCTCGTGTATTACACGGGTTGATTAAAAAAATTAAATATAAGATGTAGACATTAAGTATTTTCTAAAGTAAAATTTTGAAATAAATATAAACTTAATGATGAATAAGTAAGTAATTCAATTTATACTAATAAAAAATTATTATCATGTTTTAAATAATTGTTTTGAATATGAAGGTGTAAAAATTAAATATTTTTTAAAATAAACTTTCAAAATGAATACAATAAATAGAATAAACCACAAGGACCATTTACGTAATTTATCTTTATTATTTATAATAATAAAACTAACTAATATAAATTCACAAATAAAATTTATTAATATATTAATAGAAATAAGAATTCACAAATGGAATGTTTAGTATATACATTAATTCACATTAATTACTATAAGGTAGCATTTAATATGTGAAATTGAATAAAAAATAAAAAAAAATGTAAAAATGAAAAATGAAAAAAAATAATTTTAAAATTATAAGAAAATGACATGTGTCAAATTCAATAAGAAATTAACATTTGACAAAATTATCTTTATTTATTAGGGTAGATATTGATAGTAAGACGGATTCATATGGAATATACAAAAAAGCACAAAAAATTTTGATTGTTTTGAATAAGACTTCAAGTCTTCAAGGTTATAAACTAGTTTTGCAGAAAACCCCTCTAACTATTAAAAGTTACACTTCCACCCGCCTTGGAATTCACTTTTAAGTTTTAACTGATTATTTATTGTTTGCCTATTTAACTCTTTCTGATAAAATATAATTGAAATCCATCGATTTGAAAATAGATATATAGAAATCATTATCTTTATCTTGTTTCTTTGAAATGAAAAAGAAAATGGTAATATAAGATACGTTATGAAGGTTTATAGCTGCAACAAATTTTACGTAATGCCCCCCAGACTACATGTCTTTTTGCATTATAGTACCTAAGGTTTCTAACATAACATTTATTTTTGTTTTAAGAAAATCGAACCGAAAATCAAATAACGGTAACTGTATGAATCGACCCGAACCCGAATAACTAGGGGTGAGAATCGGTTTGGTTTTTTGATTTTTCGGTTTCCTCGAATCGGTTTCCTCGATTTTTAATTTTTTTTTTGTCCAATTCGAAAATCAAATTCAAATTCTCTAGACCAAACCGAAAACCGAATTCTAATTCGGTTTGGTTCGGTTTGAAAACCGAGGAAACCAAATATTAACATAAAAATTTTCAAACATAAATTAAAATGTTTTTAACATAGAAAACTAAAGTTACAAACAAAAAGATCTAAAGTTTCATACAAAATAATCCAAAGAGTAAATAGGTTAAAATGATTTTTACTTTATAGTTAATACTTTTATTTAATATAAAATATAAAATATATTTTTTAATTAATTGACTTATGAAATTCGGTTTTTTGATTCGGTTTGGTTTAAACTTCATGAGATCAAAACTTGAACCAAAAACCAAATTTACGATTCGGTTTGGTCTCAAACCAAACCAAAAACCAAAATTGAATACGGTTCGCTCTAAATTCGATTTCGGTTCGATTTGGTTTTTGGGTTTTTTGGTTCCGGACCAAATAATTCTCACCCTTACGAATAACCTGAAAACCGAATAAGGGTAATTGTATGAACCGAAAATCGAACCGATTAACCAATACATGTTCGGTTCGGTTTGGATATTAATCAGTTCGATTTGGGTATTACCCAAATAACATGTACAAAATGATGAAGGACCTAATATAATCGAATAACCTAAATAATAGAATAACAATGTACTTTTGTACATCAACATAAAACATTCAAATACTAACATAACACAATAACACATTGAAAAATGACATTTAATATTAGATTAACATAATGAGAAGTAACTTCTTAATTGAGTTTCTTGAGTTGGAGCTCAATTTTTTATGACTAAACAAAGTACGAATTCGTGAATGCTTAAAAACAACAGGAATGGTCGATTTTTTAAAGTTTGAAACAAGAGGAAGGATCGACATAAGTGATTTCGGGTTTGGGAATAGATAAGAAGATTGGTCGATTTTGAAACAATGAGAACAAGCATATGTTTTTTTTTTTCTATTATGAACGACAAGGACAAAAGTGTGAATCGTGATTTTGATTTCTATCGATCAAAGAAATGGAAAAATGAATGCTTATTCAGGTCGGGTATTTAGAACTAAATAAGCTTTTATTTAGGTAATCCAAACTGAATAACCCGAAAACCAAATAAGCATAATATAGATACCCGAATCGAATTTCTTATTCGGACCTAATTCGGTTCGATTCGGGTTTCGATTTCAATTCGGGGTTTCGGGCCAAATTCTCATCCCTAATGCAAGCAACGATAAAATAAATAGATAATGCACAATCCCAACTTTTTTGATATTCATAAAATTCATCATATTTTTTAAATACTACGTTTGACAAGGTTGTTGCCAATAGAGCGTACGTATATATATTTTTTCACTATAAATGAATTTTGAACTTTTTTAAAGTGAAAAAAAATCTTTTTTTTCTCAAGATAGCACTTATTAATATCCATAAACATACTTGTACTTGATGTTTCCATATAAACTATGACAGGAACATATCCAATGTAGGGCAAGAGTGGGTCTTAACCCACCCACACAAAATTAAGGTTACATATGTAAGGTATGTACAATATATATTTTTGTTAAATAAAATGAATTAAGATTGTTAAATAAAAGGAATTAAGATTATGATATGGCCTATTTCATTCAAAACTTGAAATTAGTAGAAGAGAACAATGATGTCTATGTCATGTTGATTAGACTTCAATTTAGATTATTTTAATGATGCAAAACAACATTGTTTGCAACTTAAAATAAACAATTTAATTATTGCATATATAGTTATATTTTGTTATCTTTTGAAGAATTTTGTCATTCATTTATATTTTCTATATTATTTGGCCTACCCTAAAAACATAATTATGGATTGTAAACTAACTATTGTTATAATTTTCACGAGAACGAGATAATGCTTCCTCTAACCTCAAGATTCAATTATGAACTCTTTGGACCAGAACAAAATCTACACATGCATGTTGCTATAATCAATAATCTCCATCTCTTTCTAAACTTGAGAAACGAATATATCCTAAAGGGCCAAAAGGATACTATTCAAGCTAACAACTTACATATCCTACAATACATTATTACATCATCTCTAACCAAACAAAGTTCATTTCTACAAAACTGCACCTTTGACATATTACACAACACATCCCAGCAATCAATTCACCTATGCAATTGTAGAAACATGAAAAATGACCTCATGTCTTATAAGAACGAAAACCAAGTTTTTTTATTCCAGTTTTGCCCCCATTGATATCAATCTCAGTCCCAGTCCAATACACCCCAAAGACAGTACAAGTTGTAACACATGGACCTAAAAGAAGACGTTTGGTTCACCATATTTTCATACCTGATGTTGGATAGGACCTTGTTTGTTGCCTTCAAACATCTATTTCATCATATATCATATAACAAATAAACCGGTGAACCCTGCAACTCACTGTTTCAGAAAGCCACTCGGATTATAAATTTGTTTAGTAGCTCTCAGGCAACCTGCAGGGAAACACAGAGAAGGATTATCAAGGGTACATTTGACAATTCACAATCATTTCTAAACATTTTCAGTAGTGTAAAGCCAAATTACCGCCATGGAAATTCACTGGTGTCAATCCCTGATTGATGCAATTAATCCACATACTACAAAGCTTCTCTACACTCTTCCCTATCATCAAAAAACTCTGTTGTTTCACCAACTGTATCATATGTCTCATGACCTTTCCCAGTAACCACCTACCACATATATAAACAAACAAAAAAAAGCTTATTTTAGTAAAATAAAAATTATCAAACTAGAATTAAAAAAAAAATCATAACCACCTCAAGTACTTACAACAACATCTCCCTCCTCCCCCATGGCAACATCAGAACGTACAGCCACCCTTCGAATATCATGAAGGAAAACTCTATGACCATTTTTAAGTGGGGGATGATAGTCGTTTTCTGGATGCTTAAAGTAATCCTGCATAGTCCATCCTATCCCCGCTAACATGTCATCCAATATGTCAACTGCAACAACAATAAAAATAAAAAATAAAAAATAATAATAAAAAAACATTTTACACATGTTATACATATTGACCATTTTTTTTTAAATAATACAAACCGCCAAACATGCTTACATGGATCCTCATTCCTTGGATTATCTGATGTCAACATAGTAATATGAAAGACCCTAACTTTCGTATTTATGAAAGACCCAAACTTTCATACTCGACAATATAGTTACTCCAAAACATGCTACTTGCATATTCATAAAAACAATATTTTACATTGATAAAGAGATTACAAACTACTGGATACAAACCAACTATTTTAAAGTGTTATATATTACATAACTTCCCAGGATTCTATAGGTTTATACATATGGGAGTGCAAAATACAATAGTTTCAAACTATTCATAAGCTTCCATCGATACAATAGTTTCAAACTATTCAAAAATCTTCTACCAGTATATAACTATACTGGATGTTTATCTCCTGCAATTTGTTAAACATCGAGAGGGTAAGCGGACACGCTTAGTGAGTTCAATAATAGATACAATATAACGTTATGCCATATATATACTTTAATAGGGCAGAAGCAAAGAGGAACAAGGAACAACAAGGGCATATGTGAATCATGTGACAAACATTCCATATCAATCATTGATTTGATTTAAAGATATACAATCAATGAGACATAACGATTTCCGTGCTTGATATACATCAATAAAGCTTTGGCCCAAACGGCACAGAAGATATACAACTTTGGATTAACATTTCGGTAGATTTCAGGCTTATAGCCCTATCTAACCTTCTGCCACTACCATAGAATAGAATTCATTCTCTTACGGAGACATGTTCCACATGGCCAGAGGCTACATACCAGTACCAACGTGAATCTAAGTCCTTTCACTGATCACATGGTCAAAGGTATTTCTTTGCTATTAAAAATAGCAATTTAAAATAACCCGGGAAAATAACTCGGAATAATAACACTGAAAAGCACGTAGCACATATAACACATAACATACAATTATTTCTATATATTAAACTCACCGTAATTAACCGAGGGCTAAAATATTAATTTGGGCAGTACTTCAGCTCTAAATATGACTTTCGTTGTTGAAAACCGGGCTCTGCGAAGGTAGAGCTTCGAAACTGAAAAGATAAATTTTTCGGGCTTCTCGGGAGTCTCGGGGCGTGTTTCGGGCTTTAGAATCAGTATCGGGGCTTCGGGGGAAGTCGGAATATTAAAAATATCAAAAAGGGGGGGTGAAAGTGGCAATTTTCCAAAATTACCCGAGAGGTCTCGCAGCCCCCTTGTATTTATAGGGAGGTCCGAAGTCGACTAAGGAAGAGGAGTCAGCAGCGAGGACACGCGGCATCAGCTGGGCGAGGGTGCGCAGGTGGCTTGCACGTGGATTGCGCATGTGAGGGGCTCGGTGTCGGCTTCTAATTGGACCAAGGCGAGGCTTCGGACGTGGCACCTCTGCGAGGCTCGCACACGTGATAAAGGGCACGCGTCGGATTCTTAGCGGACCGGACTTCGGATGCGAGGGCAGGCGACACGTCTCGCCAGCTGGCTTCGGTGACTCACCAATTTCGGATACGTGGCATGTTTCAAGCGAGGGTGACGTGGCCGAAGTCCACGTATGCGAGATTTCTCGATTTTTGTGCAAAAACTTCTAAAATCCATAACTTTCACATACGAGCTCCGTTTTTGACATTCTTTATATGCACGCGTAGCTAAAATTAATCTCTACAACTTTCGTTTAGACTTCGTCGGCTAATTTTGACTTTAATTTTAATATGATTATTTTTAACAGATCGGGACAGGAAAATCCGTTAAAAATTCATAACTTCTTCATCCGACGTCCGTTTTCGTCAGACTTTTTACCGTTGCACTACTAATGACGAGACCTTCAATTCTCGTTTAGGTTGTGTCGGCTAAAAATCACTCGATCTAAAATTCGAGTTTTTAGCTGTCTACTGCTAAGCTGAAACTTCGAAAAATCATAACTTCCCCATACGAAGTCAGATTCAAACGGTCTTTATATGAAAGTTGATTATTTTCACGAGTTCTACAACTTTCATTTACATCACTAAGGCTAAAAATTAGTTTATCGAAAACTAAATTTTTACGCGACAAAGTATTTTCCGGATTTATCACGGATCTTCGTTTGGTCATAACTTCTTCGTTATAACTCGGATTTCGATGAGGTTTTCGTCTAAATGTTTCTAACAAGATTATCTACAACTTTCAATAATAAAATTTTACTTATTCCAAATTTTATATTTTCGCTATATTTCACTATTTGGCTTTTAATTGGAATCTCATAAGACTTCCAATACTTTCTGAATGATTCTAAGCATAGTTTTACTTCAATTCTAGTAAAAACTATATGTTACAACTCAACATTCAAATTCACATAATATTTCATAATATTATTTACTTAAAACACGATTTCAAAACGTGTATGTTACATAATATCACTCTTGTCTGTCGCGATCTTAGTCATCACCGGTCGTTTTCCTCGGTCAGTCTCCCCGGGACAACCGATAACTATATATTATTGATTGCAAACAGTTTAGATTGAAACGAAAAGGGTATTTTAGAGATTTGACTAATCAGTTCTATTCTATATTGTACCTATGATAATTCTTTTTGGATTTAGTTCACGAACATTATCAAGAAGCCTTGATAAACCATCGGGAGTATTTGCATAATCAACAACCACTCCATAAGTTTGTTCCTCATCAATCAACTCACATCTACCAGGCACAACATCAACCTCTTCAATCCCCCTCACAATATCTTCCAAAGGTGCCCCAACCGCAATCCCAACCGCCACAGCCGCAAGAATATTGTAAACGTTCTGTCTCCCGAGTAGCCCGGATGAAATCTCCAAAATACCCTGAGGGGTATCTGATGGGTTTTAGCCATAAGAACTTTCCTATGTGCGCATGCAAAACCCTATTACTCGGATCTAGGCTTTCTAATTAAACATGCTTTGAATCCAAGACTTCTAATAGCTAATTAGGTTAAATAACAATAATGAAACAGATCTAGAATCATACCTTTGAGTTCCTTGTTGATCTTGTTGTCTTGGAGCTTCTAGAGTCACAAATATCACTCCTCTAATGGCTTACAAACACCAATAGCAAGCAAGATGATTTAGGAGAGAGGAGAGGGGAGGAATTCGGCCAGAGGTTCCTTGCTTTAGGTTGTGTGTTGAATTCCCTCACCCCTAGGGTCTATTTATACTTGTAGACTCCTTAAGGGTTACAACTTAAACCCTAATTGGATAATCTTCTCTTAAGGCTATCCAAATCCATTCCATAGATAACCCTATGGACGATTTTGGCTTATCCAAGCCCTAGAAATCGTCCATCCTATCTAGGATAAGGATTTATAGTCTAAAGTGTAACTATCAAACAATTGACAGTTTATACCCTCTTATTTAATTAATCTCTTTAAGTCACCAAATTAATACCAATTAATTTATGACTTATATTAATCAAATAGCCATATATTATTCCTTATAATATTTACTCTCTCTTAACAAATCATCCTTCAAGTTGCTATGGTGAAGGCAACCCAAAAGGACCATGCACAACCGGATATAGTTACAGCCTTAGACACTATTCCAACAGTCTCCCACTTGGATAAGTCTAGTAACTATACAAGTACAATTCGGTTTGCAATCGTAGCTCTCAAAGACGCTGTCAACTCTGATCTAATCAATCTTGTCCTTTAGATAAGGGATCGTGCAGTCCTCTGTTAGATATCATGCTGACAATCCTATGGAATGGTTAGTCATGCATTTAAATTTCTCGATCTCCGATTTATTCGACATAGAACTTAATCGAACACATCAATTTAGTTCTGACCGGGCCCGGCACATAAGTCAAATCAAATCATCGAGTGGCCAAGATATCTCTTCTACCCTCTTAGGATAAAATTTACAGATAAACTTCGACTTATATGCATTTACTTATTCATTAACCAACAATACACAACAATGCGTTTTATAACATCAAGTTACTGATGCGTTTTCGCATTATCAATGCACAATCAATTAACAAATAATAAACCATATATCTAGGTTTTAAGACTATATGATATTATCGTCTTGCGATCACCTTTTATATCGTATTCCATAAGGTGATTCCAGCAAGCGCGGGTTTATTCCAATGCTCAAAACCAGTTCATAAGCACTCATGAACGTTGCAGCAACCCTTGCTATGTCTAACACCATTTAGACATTCTACACACCAATTCATGACAATCTTCATTCATATCTACTCCCAACATATGAACGATTGTGGACCATTTGAATAATTCGATTATTCCTAATAAACTCAATTATTCTGGAAGTCAAAACATGCAAAGTGAAACAATAGTTAAACAATTAACATGTGACAGTAACTTTACTCATAAATAAAACTCCTTTATTTAATCATCAAATGTTAATTACATTTATCTATTATACGTTTCTAATACTATCTAATCTATACTAATATCATCCTTCAGCCCAATACTCCTAGCATGCTGCAAGTGCTTAACCCTACTCAGTCCCTTCGTAAGCGGATCTGCTGGGTTATCTTCTGATGATATCCTCTTCACTACGAGTTGTCCTTCTTCTACACGATGTCTAATGAAGTGATATTTTCTGTCGATATGTCAAGATCTACCATGATCCCTCGGTTCCTTGGTCAAGGCAACCGCACCTTCGTTATCACAGAAAATCTCCATGGGCTCCTTTATGGCCGGTACAACTCCAAGATCACCAATGAAGTTCTTTAGCCATATTGCCTCCTTCGACGCTTCGCTCGCTGCGATGTACTCTGATTCGCACGTTGAATCAGCTACGGTTTCTTGCTTGGAACTCTTCCAAGTCACTGCTCCTCCATTTAGGGTAAAGACCCAGCCCGACTGCGAACGGTAGTTGTCCCTGTCGGTCTGAAAGCTGGCGTCACTATACCCTCGCACCTTCAAGTCATCACTCCCTCCAAGGACTAAGAACCATTCTTTCGTCCTCCGAAGGTACTTAAGGATGTTCTTCACCGCAATCCAATGTGCTTTGCCAGGGTTCCCTTGATATCTGCTAACCATGCTCAAAGCGAAGGCTACATCAGGGCGAGTACAAGTCATAGCGTACATGATTGAGCCAACTGCGGAAGCGTATGGTACTCGGCTCATTTCTGCTATCTCAGCTTCGGTACTCGGACTTTGAGTCTTACTCAACTTGGCATTTCCTTGTATCGGTATTCTCCCTTCTTTGAGTTTTCCATACTAAAACGTTTTAGTACCTTCTCTAAGTAAGTATTCTGACTAAGTCCAATTAGTCTCTTACTTCTTTCTCTTACTATCCTTATTCCCAAAATGTAAGAAGCCTCTCCGAGGTCCTTCATAGCGAAGCACTTCCCGAGCCAGGACTTAACCTCCTGCAGAGTCGGGATGTCGTTTCCTATGAGTAATATGTCATCGACATATAGAACGAGGAAGCTTACTATACTCCCACTGGCTTTGACATATACACAAGATTCGTCTTCGCTTCGTACAAATCCAAAACTCTTTGACTTTCTCATCGAAGCAAAGATTCCATCTGCGAGATGCTTGCTTAAGTCCATAAATGGACTTCTCAAGCTTACACACTCTATTCGGATGCTTCGGATCCACAAACCCCTCTGGCTGAGCCATGTAAACATCCTCAGCCAACTTTCCGTTAAGGAAAGCGGTCTTGACATCCATTTGCCAAATCTCATAATCATGAAATGCGGCAATTGCTAGCATCACTCTAATAGATTTAATCTTCGCAACTGGTGAGAAGGTCTCATCATAGTCAACTCCGGGAGTTTGAGTAAAGCCCTTCGCGACCAATCGCGCTTTATATGTGTGTACGTTCCCATCCACGTCGGTCTTCTTCTTGAAGATCCACTTGCACCCTACGGTCTTACGTTCGGGCACATAATCAACCAAATTCCAAACTTGGTTATCGTACATGGATTGGATCTCGCTATCCATCGCCTCTTTCCATTTCGCAGACTCCGGGCCTGCCATGGCTTCCTTATAGCTATTAGGTTCATCAAGATTTACTAGTGTACCATCACTAATATACGTGTCCCCTTCGGTAGTAATATGAAAACCATAAAACTGGGGATGAACTCTAACTCTATCGGAACGTCTAAGAGGTAAGGATTCGTCAATCGGTTCAACCGGAGTTTCCTCCTCGGGTTGAATGCCAGCGGTAGAGGTTCCTTCATCTATCGACTCTTGAATCTCTTCAAGTTCGATTTGCCTCCCACTGTCTCCTTGGCTTATGAGTTCTCGCTCTCGGAAAACTCCTCTCCTCGCAACAAAAACAACATTGTCTTTCGGTCTATAGAAGAGATATCCAAAGGAAGTTTGCGGGTAGCCGATGAAAATACATCGCTCACTTCGAGGTTCAAGCTTGTCGTGAGTATCTCGTCTTACGAAAGCCTCGCAACCCCAAACCTTGATATGTGCCAACGAGGGAGCTTTCCCTGTCCACATCTCGTGAGGTGTTTTGGCAACCTTCTTAGTTGGGACTCGGTTAAGGATATGGGCGGCAGTCTCTAAGGCATACCCCCAAAAGAAGATAGGTAGTGAAGCACGACTCATCATAGAGCGAACCATATCCAATAAGGTTCGATTACGCCTTTCTGCCACACCATTCAACTGCGGTGTCCTAGGAGGCGTCAATTGCGAAACTATTCCACACTCCTTGAGATAATCGTGGAATTCAAGACTTAGGTACTCTCCTCCTCGATCGGATCGAAGCATCTTGATTTTCCTGCCCAATTGATTCTCCACTTCATTCTTGAACTCTTTGAACTTTTCAAAGTTTCTGACTTTTGCTTGATTAAGTAGATATACCCATATCTACTATAGTCATCGGTAAAAGTCACATAGAAGCGGTTCCCATCCTTCGTGGTTGATCTAAAGGGTCCACATACATCGGTATGTATTAGGTCCAATAGCCCCTCACCCCTTTCACAAGTACTCGTGAAGGGTGACTTAGTCATCTTTCCAAGTAAACAAGACTCGCATGTGTCATCTTCCCTAAGGTCGAATGACTCCAACACTCCATCCTTTTGGAGTTGGGCTATGCGTTTCTTGTTGACATGTCCAAGACGACAATGCCACAAGGATGCTTTATCCATACTAGTGGAAGAATCAATATTCAAAACATCATTTCCTAAGTTATCAACAATCATAACAGTTTCATATATTCCATTACATGGTATAGCTTCAAAGTAAAAGACACCATTTAGATAAGCCAAAATAGAACCATTCTCATTATTAAAAGAAAATCTAAATCCTTGTCTATATAAACCATGAAATGAAATGATGTTTCTAGCCATTTCTGGCGAATAGCAACAATTGTTCAAATCTAAAACTAAACTATTCCTAAGCACTAAAGAATACACTCCAATCTTGGTCACAGGCGACGATCTTCTGTTCCCCATGATTAGATTGATCCTTCCTTGCTCCACATCCCTACTTCTTTTAGTCCCTGCACATTAGAACAAATGTGATAACCGCAACCGGTATCAAGAACCCAAGAAATAGCATGATTAGAATCGTTAGATTTGATTGTGTATATACCTGCGAAAGATGGCTTGATCTTTCCTTCCTTGATGGCTTGCAGGTAATCCGGGCAGCTTCTCTTCCAATGTCCTATCTTGTGGCAGTGGTGGCACTCTGCCTCCTTGGGTTGGAACAGGGCTTAGAGGGATCAACTTTGGTCCCACTAGAAGAGGAACCATCTCGGGCTTTCACCTTTCGATAGTTATTCGATGAAGCTTTCCTCTTCTTTCCCTTCCCTTGACCAATAGCCAAGACAGGAGCAGCGGATGGATTGGGAGTTGGTGCAACAGACTTGTCCTTGAAGTTGCTCTCAGCAACCCTCAAGAGACCTTGGAGTTTGCTTAGGGTGACCTCCTCTTTGTTCATGTGGTAGGTCATCCTAAATTGGTTGTACATCGGAGGCAAAGAGTGAAGCACCATGTCGATCGCCAAGTCTTCGCCGAAGTCAACATTTAACTTGCGAAGGCGGTCGACATACCTTTGCATCTTTTGCAGGTGCACGGTAAGAGATTCTCCATGACCCATCTTAGCGGAGATCATGTTAGTGAAAATCTCGTAACGCTCTTGTCTCGCGTTTTGGTGGTACCTCTCCAACAAGTCTTGATGCATCTCGTATGGATACATGTCCTCGTAGGACTTTTGGAATTCGGAGTTCATGGTGGCGATCATGATGCAATGTACTTTCGTTGCATCTCGCTCATGAGTTTCAAAGGCGGTGATTTCGGCGGGAGTAGCAACTTCGGGGTTGATTTTCTCGAGCTTCTCATCGAGGACATACTCTTTATCCTCATAGCGAGCAATGGTGCGAATGTATCTTATCCATTCGCTAAAGTTCGTTCCATCGAAGGTGACCTTTTGGCAAAGGCTCATCAACGTGAAAGAACTAGCAGCAGCGTTGTTTGCGTTTGACATCTATAGAAAGGACAAAGATAGATTAGAACAAGAATCCCTAATTATCACCCAATAAGAAAAATTAGGGCTAGGATCCAACAATAACATTTACATACTAGAAAAGGGATGCCGTAATCTAATATGCAAATAAATTGAAGGTAAGTGAATGACGATTCACTAATTCTCCATTACAAAACTTAAACTATTAGTCCTAAGTGTTTTTGAGAATTCCTAGGTTCGGATGAGATTCATTGAACTATTCAATGGCATGTTTAAATCTCGATATGCCCCTCTTGTTTGTGACTGGGATGCGAGGATCACAAAGCGGGTGTGAATTACCATGCAAATTCACATGGTGCCTTCATTGTAACGATCACCTATTCGATGTGCCGGTAAACCACACACGCTCCATCGAACTATGATAAACAATGAATCACCCTTTGCCACCTTCGCTTAGAACCAATTAGTGTGCCGGTAAACCACACACGCTCCACTAACTTCTTAGCAAGGTGCAAAGTGTAATTTCATGGGATTGCATCAATTCACTTTTCCTAAAGTAACTAAGATTGGGAAATTTTTAAAACGTGTAGTTACTTTGTGTTTCTTATTATACTTTTAATGAGAGGATGAGGTTGCCCTATCCTACCCGTTCGGCTAACGACCCTCCACCAATCAAGCAAGCGGTGGGTGTGAGTGTACACCCATTAAGCGCCATTTTATAGGCCGCAACCTTATACCCACCTTATAGATCGGCTTCGTGAATGAGGCCTACTAGCGGTAAGACTAGCATTTAGTTATACATATATATATTATTCTAGTAATATCATATAAGTATAGGGTTGTATTTTAAAACCTTTTAAAATCTAGGTTTTTGAAATTTAAGTTGTCTAAATTAAAACTTTTAATCACAAATATAAATTTCAAAACTTTAGGGTAGGTTTTAAACATTTAAAACATGGAGGATCAAATAACAAATAATTCCAATTAACAATTAATATCCTAATTATCTTTATTTGATTTATCTAAGATTTCTTTCAAGATAATTATCAAAATAATTAATCATTATCATATAAGGAAATTAAATATTTTATTAGATGATAAATATCTTTAATTAGATCAAGATAATAGTCATATTTATCAAAAAATCGGATTTAGATTGATCTAATATGATTAAGGTAAGTTTCCATAAGATAATTATGAAAAAATCCCGAATCTGGCCATTCCTGACGCCTGGACTCGCCGAGTCACAAGGGGACTCGCCGAGTCAGGCCTACTCGCCGAGTCCACCTTGGAACTCGCCGAGTCAGTGACTCAAAAACCCAAAAATCAAATTTTGCAGGTTTGTTACAGTTAATCAAGCAACAATTTAAAGAAAACCAAGCTAGGCTCTGATACCACTGATGGGTTTTAGCCATAAGAACTTTCCTATGTGCGCATGCAAAACCATATTGCTCGGATCTAGGCTTTCTAATTAAACATGCTTTGAATCCAAGACTTCTAATAGCTAATTAGGTTAAATAACAATAATGAAACAGATCTAGAACCATACCTTTGAGTTCCTTGTTGATCTTGTTGTCTTGGAGCTTCTAGAGTCACAAATGTCACTCCTCTAATGGCTTACAAACACCAATAGCAAGCAAGATGATTTAGGAGAGAGGAGAGGGGAGGAATTCGGCCAGAGGTTCCTTGCTTTAGGTTGTGTGTTGAATTCCCTCACCCCTAGGGTCTATTTATACTTGTAGACTCCTTAAGGGTTACAACTTAAACCCTAATTGGATAATCTTCTCTTAAGGCTATCCAAATCCATTCCATAGATAACCCTATAGACGATTTTGGCTTATCCAAGCCCAAGAAATCGTCCATCCTATCTAGGATAAGGATTTATAGTCTAAAGTGTAACTATCAAACAATTGATAGTTTATACCCTCTTATTTAATTAATCTCTTTAAGTCACCAAATTAATACCAATTAATTTATGACTTATATTAATCAAATAGCCATATATTATTCCTTATAATATTTACTCTCTCTTAACAAATCATCCTTCAAGTTGCTATGGTGAAGGCAACCCAAAAGGACCATGCACAACCGGATATAGTTACAGCCTTAGACACTATTCCAACAGTATCCACCAAAACTTTTGTCTCAAAGAGAGAAAGATCAAACTGTAACGGATACACATCCGCTTTTTGTCCTCCATTGCAAACGTCACAACAGGTACATCTTGATTCCCTTGTGCGATAACAGAGGGGCGTTTTCGTCATCAATATTCACAACTTTCTGATGACGTGTCGGGTCCACCATTCTACCAAACAATTTAAGTTTAGCGTTCCTATACTCTTCATCGGCCCCACTTAGGTTCGTGAAAACCGCAATATCTAAATCAACCTCGTCACATCTTCCGGAAGCGAGCTCTTAAGAAGAAGCTTCCATGACTAAAGCTTCAGCCCCGTTATGGATCATCTTTGCCATTAATTTTTGGCGGGAAACCGCATCTGGGATTGTGTCTTTTGTCTCTAATTGGTTTTCACCATGAACATAATGAGCTACATTTGTTATCATCCCGGTTCTTAAACCCATCACCTCATACATCCCTTTTATTAGATACGCGGTGCTTGTCTTTCCATTTGTACCCGTGATACCAATTACAGCAACGTTCTTTGAAGGGTGTCTATAAAATGAAGCTGCTAAAGTTGCTAAAACGGAGGATGTGTCTTCTACTAAAACTAACGCTTTACACCCTAAAGTTTCCTCAATGTCTATTTCTTTACTAGCTACAATTGCAACTGTATGTGGAGCCTTTAGATCCACCACAAGGGACGCTTGTTGCTTCTACGTGACTTTTACTGATGATTATAGCAGATACAGATATATCTACTTAATCAACCATAAGTCAGAAACCTTTGAAAAGTTCAAAGAGTTTAAGAATGAAGTCAAGAATCAACTGGGCAGGAAAATCAAGATGCTTCGATCTGATCGAGGAGGAGAGTACCTAAGTCTTGAGTTTCACGACTATCTAAAAGAATATGGAATTGTTTCACAATTGACGCCTCCTAGAACACCACAATTGAATGGTGTAGCTGAGAGACGTAATCGGACCTTGTTAGACATTGCTCGTTCTATGATTAGTCGGCTTCATTGCCAATAGCTTTCTGGGGGTACGCCTTAGAGACGGCTGCCCATATCCTTAACCTAGTTCCCACAAAGAAGGTTTCGAAAACACCTCATGAGATGTGGACAGGGAAAGCTCCCTTGTTGGCACATATCAAGGTTTGGAGTTGTGAAGCTTTCGTAAGATGAGAGACTCATGACAAGCTAGAACCTCGTAGTGAGAAGTGTTACTTCATTGGCTATCCACAAAAGTCTTTTGGCAATCTCTTCTATAGACCAAGTGACAATGTTGTCTTTGTTGCTAGGAGAGGGGTTTTCAGAGAAAGAGAACTCATAGGTCAAGGAGACAGTGGGAGTCAGATTGATCTTGAAGAGCTTCAAGAGTCAAATGATGAAGGAACCTCTAACATTGGCGTTCAATCTGAGGAGGAAGCTCCTGTTGAACCAATTGACCAGTCCTTACCTCTTAGACGTTCCAGTACAGTTAGTGTTCCACCCTAGTTGTATGGTTTCCATATTACTAATGAAGGGGATACGTTTATTAGTGATAGTACACTAGTAAATTTGGACAAACCGAATAGCTACAAGGAAGCCATGGCAGGCCTGGAGTCTGCTAAATGGAAAGAGGCAATGGACAGCGAGATTCAGTCCATGTACAACAACCAAGTTTGGAATTTGGGTGATAATGTACCGGGTCGCAAGACAGTCAGGTGCAAGTGGATCTTCAAGAAGAAGACAGACATGGATGGGAAAGTGCACACTTATAAAGCGTGATTGGTCGCGAAGGGCTTTACTCAAACTCCTGGAGTTGACTATGATGAGACCTTCTCGCTAGTTGCTAAAATAAAGTCTATTAGGGTAATGCTTGCAATAGTTGCGTTTGATGATTATGAAATTTGGCAGATGGACATGAAAACCGCTTTCCTTAATGGGAAGTTGGCTGAGGATGTGTACATGAATCAGCCAGAGGGTTTTTTCGATGCGAAGCATCCTATTAGAGTGTGTAAGATTGAGAAATCCATTTATGGATTGAAACAAGCGTCTCGCGGGTGGAATCTTTGTTTTGACGAGAAGGACAAAGAGTTTGGCTTTCTGCAAAGCGATGATGAGTCATGTGTATATGTCAAAGCCAATAGGAGTATAGTGAGCTTCCTCGTATTGTATGTCGACGACATACTGCTCATAGGAAACGACGTCCCAACCTTGTAGGAGGTTAAGTCCTGGATTGGGAAGTGTTTCGCTATGAAGGACCTCGGTGAGGTTGCATACATTCTGGGAATAAGGATAGTGAGAAACAGAAGTAAGAGACTGATAGGACTCAGTGAGGATACATACTTGGAAAAGGTAATTAAGCGTATTAGTATGGAGAATTCCAAGAATGAGGAGTTACCAATCCAGAGCAATACCAAACTGAGTAAGACTCAGAGCCGAGTACTGAGGCAGAGATAGATGATATGAGTCGAGTACCTTACGCTTCCGCAGTTGGCTCTATCATGTATGGTATGACATATATTTGCCCTGATGTGGCCTTCGTTTTGAGCATGGTCAGCAGATATCAAGGGAATCCTGGTAGAGCTCATTGGATTGTTGTTAAGAATATTCTTAAGTACCTACGAAGGACCAAGGAATGGTTTTTAGTCATCGGTGGGAGTGATGACTTAAGGGTACGAGGGTATAGTGACGCTAGTTTTCAGAAGGATCGAGATAATTACCGTTCGCAGTCGGGTTGGGTCTTTACCTTAAATGGAGCAGCAGTGACTTAGAAAAGTTCCAAGCAGGAGACCGTAGCTGATTCAACGTGTGAATCAGAGTACACTGCGGCGAGAGAAGCATCAAAGGAGGCTATATGGTTGAAGAACTTCATTGGAGACCTTGGAGTTGTGCCATCCATAAAAGAGCCAATGGAAATTTTTTGTGATAATGAAGGAGCGGTTGCCTTGACCAAGAAACCAAGGGATCATGGCAGATCTCTACATATCGACATAAAATACCACTTTATTAGACATCGGGTAGAAGAGGGACTCCTCGTTGTGAAGAGGGTATCGTTAGAGGATAACCTAGCAGATCCCCTTACGAAGGGATTGAGTAGGGTCAAGCACTTGCAGCACGCTAGGAGCATTGGGCTGAAGAACGATATTAGTTTGGATTAAATAGATAGGAAATGTGTAATAGATAATTTGTACTTGACATTTGATGAATAAATAAAGTTATGTTATTTATGAGTAAAGCTATTATCTTATGTTGGTTATTTATCTGTTGTTTCAATTTTGCATGTTTTGACTTCCTGAATAATAAGATTATTCGAACAGTCCACAGTCACTCATATTTTGGAAGTAGATATGAATGAAGACTGTCATGAATTTGTTTGTAGATTGTCTAAAAAGGTTTTGGACATAACAAAGGTTTGCTACAAAGTTCATGAGTGCTTATGAATAAGATTTAAGCATTGGAATAAACCCGCGCTTGCTGGTATCACTTTATAAGAGTTATCACGAGTGATCACAAGATGATAATATCATATAATCTTTAAACCTAGAGATATGGTTATTGTTTGCTAGTTGATTATACATTGATAATGCGAAACCGCATCAGTAACTTGATGTTATAAAACGCATTATTGTGTGTAACTTAGCTAGTGAGTGATAAAAGCATATAAGTCAAAGTTTTTCTATTCCTTTTATCCTAAGAGGGTAAAAGCAATATCTGGTCACTCGATGATTTGGTTTGACTTATGTGTTGGGTCCGGTCAGGATGAAGTTGATGTGTTCAACTAAATTCTATGTCTAACAAATCAGAGATCGAGAAACAAGTGCTGGAAAATGAGTATTGTCGGCATGATATCTAGAACAGAGGATTATACGATCCCTTATCTGAAGGACTAGTTTTAATTAATGTTGACAGAAATAGAGTTATGATTGCTAATCGGATCCTGAAGTCATATGTGAGATATAGTTACTAGACTTATCCAAGTGGGAGACTGTTGGATTAGTGTCTAAGCCCGTAACTATATTTGGTATGTACTTGACCCAGTTGTGTAAGGTCCTTTTGGGTTGCTTTCACCAAAGCAACTTGACAAGGTAATTTAATAAGATAGAGAGGATATTATGGTTTATTAATATATTATAAGAATAATATATTAAAGGAGAAATCATATTTATTTATTTAATTAGTATTAGTCATAAATTAATTAGGAATTAATTTGGTGACTAAAAGAGATTAATTAAATAAGGGGCGTAAACTGTCAAATATGTGATAGTTTGGTTTTGGGCTGAGAAGCCTCTTAGACAAGGCATGGACGAAATTAGGGATGATTCCATCCTAATTTCGGCTTAAGAGGCCCTATTCCGGAAGCTTCATGAGCTGCTTAAGACTTAAGCAGTCCATTAGGGTTTAGACTGAAACCCTAGCAGCCTACACTATAAATAGGGACCCCTTTATGTGATTTTCGGCTACTACCTTCCCAAGAGAAACCCTAGAGCCGATTTTAGCATACTCCCCCTCTCTCCTATTGCCTTCTTGCTTCTTGATGTTTGTGATCAATTGGAGGGGTTACAATTGTGACTCTAAGCTCAAGAAAAGAAGAATCAAGCAACTAGTGAATAGGTAAACATCTAGATCTGATGTTAAGAGTTAATTTTGATTATTTGTATGCTAGTTTAGGGTTTGCAAGTCTTGAATATTTCACATCTACAATAAAGAAACCTAGATCCAAGCAATAGAGTTTGTATGAGCACATAGGATTGTTCTTATACATAAAACCCATCAAAATATGTCGGATATGATGGAGCATCACACGCTCCCCCTTGATCTGAGTATCTACCCGTAAAAACGAGGATATTATTTTCCGGTCATAGGTAGACATGGTGATGTATCGCCGAACTAAACAAACATTGTAGAATATATATATATATATATATATATATATATATATATATATTATATATATATATATATATATATATATATATATGATAAACCCGTTGCTGAAGAATAATAAATGTTGAACTGAAGTAATGCCGATAACCGAAATACAAACCCGAACTCCCTAATGATGGTCCGAGACCATATGTAAATAGTCTGAAGGGAGTAAAAATGCGAGTAGCTCGGTAGAAGTGAGACACAAAAATAATAATCTCTGAACCAACTGTGTCTTCACTCATAATCAGCAAGAAAAATGAAGCTTGAACCATGGGGAGAAGATTTTTCAGTTGAGAAGGCTGAGATAATCTTCATAAATGACGAAAATCTTCAAGATAATAAACCAATCGAGATTGTTCCCTTGAAATAATCATGAGATCTCCAAGGTCTCGCTCTGATACCAATTGTTGAGGGGGGAAGAAATTTTTTTGAGAATCACAATGAACAAACGTTAGTCAAAGTAATAAGTTGCGGAATAAAGCTTATCTTCAAGGATCAAAGAAGCTCAACAATAATAAGATGTTAGAAGTTAATATTTAGAATGTTAGGTGCGGAAATATAAGGAAATGCAAAGGATAACAAGTATTACATCAAGTATACACGTAATTTGATTCTTAACAAGAATTGCAGCCAATCCTTGTTAGTTAGTGTGATAAAACTTAGTGATTAAGTCACGGATTACTTGCTCCAGGAGGAGGAGATTTGTAACGCCCGTAGATCCGGGCTAGTCAATTTAGAGGTAATAGGGGTCGAAAACGACTTTTCAATAAAAGATTATTTAGAATAAATAATCTTAACCAAGTTTTATAGTATGTCTCAAGGGTTCCGTACATATAAAGAACGCCGAAATCTGAGTTATAACGAACAAGTTATGGCTCGTCGAAGTTTAACAACAAAACCAGCACGACACCGGGAGACGTAAATAGTGAATTTACGATGGATGAATTTTTAGCCTTAGTAATCTAAACAAAATTCGTAGAATATGTTAAGCTGAGGCCGTCCATAAAAAGAACGTCCAAATCTGACTTCATATGAGGAAGTTATGATTTTTCTAAGATTTAGCATAACAGTACACAACCCGGAATTCGAATTTTAGATCGAGCATTTTTTGGCCAACACGACCTAAATGAGAATTGAAGATCTCATTAATAGGAACTCAACGACAAAAGACAGACAAAAACGGAGTCCGTATGTAAAAGTTATAATTTTTTAAGGGACCAATCATGTCCCGAACTGTTAAAAATATAACTTTAAAAATAAAGTCAAAATTAGCCGACGGAGTCTAAACGAAAGTTGTAGGGTACGGTCCCGCCTACGTGTGGATATAAAAAACGTCAAAAACGGAGTCCGTATGAATGAGTTATAAAATATAATAGAATATTTACGTATTAAAATAAAGTATAAATCATATATACGTATACATATATATACAAATGTATATATCATTAGAAAGGTATCGACGATGCGGTCATTATAGTACTATGAAGGGGTG